ATTATTTTTACAATAAAAAGTATTAAAAAAGCAAAAACCATATCAAGGCAGATGCCACATGGGATGGGGACTAGCAAAGTGTGTTCACTGAAGCAAAACAAGCCAGGCAGGGCTACATAGCAATTCTCTTACCAAAAAAAAAAAATATAGATAGATAGATAGATGTTTATAGAAGGTGGTAGGTATTAACTTATTTTGCTGCAGTAATCATTTCTATTGTATAGGTTATTTCAAAATATTGTTTAGTATTCATTAAGTATATACAATAATTTCTAAAACACTATGCACAGAAGTAGATGAAATACAAAAATTTGACATATGACAAAAGGTTATGTAAAGTCCCTGAGAAAGAAAACATTTCAGTAAGTGAGGCAACGAATTGGCCACAACTTTGACATAACTTTATCTGTAAAATTTCAACAGATCAACAGTATTGCAAGAGAGCAGAAACTGGCCCTATCATTTTGTAGAAAGTATCAAAATATAACCTTGGAATCAACAATTATAGCTATCCTATGCAAATACAGCATATATGCACAAAAACCTACAAATTGTTCATTACACAGTTTGTAATAAGAGAAGCCAATAGGGAAATTAATAGTCAAACATAGCACAGCCTAAGATGACATACTAAGTAGTCAGTAAATCAATAAAATAGAACATGTATTAAGGGAAGTAGCTAACTAGTAGAGCACTGACAAGGCCGGGGGTTCAATCCCAGCATTGGGGAAAAAAAAAAACAAAACCCTATATGTATTAACAAGTTCTCTTAAACATGCACTAAGTAAAACAAAGGGAAAACTGTGTCAACTATAGTTGCATTTTAAATTTGAATATAAGATAAAACGTGTACAATTTCCCTCTGTACTCATGGGGGATTGGTTGCAGGACTTAGATTCCAATGCATCCGCTCGAGTCCCATTAAATGGTATAATACTTGCATATAATCTACGTACATTCTCCCACGTATTTAAATCAACTCTGCTTATGCCTAATACAATGTAAATGTAACATAGTTATTATACTGTATTGAGAAATAATGATTTTTTTAAGTAGGTCAGTACAGACACATACACCCACCAAAAAAAACAAAAATGACTGTGGATATTTTGTGCTCCTTCAGGTCGTTTATTTCCGAGTCAGAAGAGAAGCAGGGACAGGTGTGTCTGCCGGTCAAGGCCTGGACCTGGCAGACACCACATGGGGAGTGGGGAAGGAGGGGAGGCACAGGAGACAGCTCCCAACTGTGTGCACTTGGTCCCACGTTGGCCCTGGCAGGCCAGGGAGGGCTGCCTGGGCGTGGTGGCACTGGAAGCCGGAGAGAGGCAGCAGGTCCTCAGCCCAGAGGATGGCACAGCGGAGGCAATAACTACTGACAGGCCAGGCATGGAGGCCCGGGCCACGAGGCCCGGGGGAGACAGGTAAGGCTCGGCCAGTCTGTCCCTCCGGAGCTCTGTGCTGCCCAGGCAGGGGAGGCAGAGGCAGGACAGCCACCTCCGGATGGGGCTGGCGGCGTGAGTTTTGGCAATCTGACCTTCTCCCAGCTGCTGGTGCCACCAGCCCGGGCCACAAAAGGGGCAACGGCAGCACACCCCAGGCCTCCCCGGGTCGCTGGGACAGGGTGGCCGACAGGGAGGACAGGGAGACCACATGCTCATGCAGATGGAGGTTAAGAGTTAGCGCGGCCCCCAGGACACGTTCCACATGTTAAAGCACCATGGTTAGACGGTGACCCATAGGGACACAAATAGAGGGGTGACTGGATATCTAAACACAAGGAACAATCCAAAGAGGGACACTTATCAGTTAACAGGCACCCCTATAGGGAACAAAATCAGATTATGTGAAACGTGAGTTTTAATATTCTTTTTTTTTTTTTTGGTCAGTCGTGGGGCCTGAACTCTGGGCCTGGGCGCTGTCCCTCAGCTCTTCAGCTCAAGGCTAGCACTCTACCACTTGAGCCCACAGTGCCACTTCCAGCTTTTTCTGCTTATGTGGTGCTGAGGAATCAAACCCAGGGCCTCATGCATGCAAGGCAAGCACTCTACCACTGAGTCATCTTCGGAGACTGAGTTTTTATATTCTATAGTTTCCAAAAAAGTATGACATTCATTCTCTCATTCAAATTCTCTCTACTCTCCCTACCGTCTCAGTCCACATCTTTCTTGAAATACAAAAATAACATGAAAGAGGCTCTGTAAATAATAAGCAATGATCTATATTCTTTGAATTGGGATAGTGAGTGATGGGAATGTTTGTTCTCATAATTCAATATCGCTCCTACAGTGTGGCCCACTGACTACCCCTCCCCACTAGGGGAATCTTCCCAAAATATTCCAGCTCCAAATCTTAATCTAAATATGAAAGCCCACTCTCCCACCCTCTCTGGTACTGGGGATTGTGAGATGAGGCAGGGCAGGAGACTTGCTCAAAGGATAGGTGCTCTGGGCAAGACCAGAACCAGAGACTTGTGAAACTCTTTGAACCTGCAGTGATCTGGGACCCTGCCCTCACCCATTACCCTACTGAAATCCCCCTTCACCCCATCCCCACCCCCACACATATGCCTCTATAACTTTCCATTAAAGTTGATCTGGTCTATGGAGGTTGTTTACTGCTCTTTCTTTACTTCTAATACCCTCACGACTCCATTTCCTAATGTTAAATATAAGCATATCAATTGTTTTAGCAAAATCAAGGATGAAAGTGAAGCCTGACAGACTGGGAAAAAAGGAAGAATAGTCAGCTTACAGCAAATACAGGTGATATTCCTTCATATATTGCCCTAAGATTAAGGAAACAAAGTCATTTTAGGGGAAATGAAACTGGATAGACTAGAGGAAAAGGAGGTATGGTCAGCTTACTGTAGATATTCCTCCATGTACTTCTCTTAAGATTAAGGAAAATGAGGGAGGGGATAACAAGTTCGACAAGAAATGTACTTGCTACCTTATTTATGTAACTGTAACCCCTATGCACATCACCTTGACAATAAAATTAAAATTTTAAAAAACGATTAAAGGAACAAAGTCATTTTAGGAGTAATGAAGCAGGATAATTTAAGGAAACTGAGGCCTGGTAAAGGCAACTCAGAAATATGGTATTTAGCAATGCTATCTTTGCTTCAAAGAGACAACAGGATGCATTCATTTTTGAGAGATGCATTTACGTATGTCTTCCTGAGAAATATGCTTCCCCAAACTTAAGCCACCAGCCCCAAAATGCAGATAGCAAGGTGTCTCATGACAGGATGCAATCTTACCAGGAAACTTGTTAAAGCAAAGACAAAGCAAACTTTAAAGCCATAATGCCTTTACCCTATAAATAACTGACCAGCCCAAGAACTGTGTGTCTCTCTGGGTATCTCCTTGTGGGTGTTTGTGAGTGTCTCTCATTGGGTCTGAGTATCTCTCTGCCTGTTTTTCTCTCTGTGTCTTTATCTCCCTACGAGAGTACCCACAATCTGCTGAAGTGTGCCCTTGCTGAAGTGCCCTCTGCTGAAGTGTGCCTGTCTGTCTGTCTGCTGGTTTACTTACTCAATAAAGCTCTACCAAGTTTTCTTAACATTGTCATTTGTCCAGAAATTCTTATTCTGCAATCAAAGTCAAGAACCTTAAGTGAAGAGTTACTATACTGAAAGGGAAACTTCACTAAATCTCACCTCCCACAGGTGACAAAAGGAGGAAAAGGAAGCTGATTATCTTAATAGTAGGAAAGAGGAGGCTGAGGAAGCTCTATTGTGGAAAGCTGGCCTATCATGCACTAAGCTCTAGATTCAATCCCAAGTATTACAAAAACATTAGCACACACATACATACACACTAAGAGTGTAGCAGACCCATAGTGTACAGTACATTTTAATAGCATTCAACTCTCCAGCACTGTCAAATTATAACTTCAACCTTCTCTTCCCGGGACCTAGTCGTTCCTCTTTCTCTTATTCTCTATAGGATTTTCACCTCTTACCTTTATAACACTTTTTTATTTTTTACACATTTCTTTCTTTAGTATTATCCACACCTTTGGTCCTCAACTCCACCAATACCTGAGCTCCTCCCAGCCCTGGAGTTGCGCCCAGACCCACCTGCCCACGCATCTACCTCTGAACCTCCAACTACTTGGATAGGGATGGTTGCCATGTGCTCGCTCTCCCGGAGAGATATGGGCCTTTCTAATAAGCCTTATAATTGTTTTTCTGTGCCTGATTGCCTCCGCGTGGTCCCCTGCGTTGGATGTGAAGGATTCCTTTCACCTTCCACTAAAATTTAAACTTAGATTAGTTTTATTCACTTGCTTGTTTCTCTAGTGTTAAGGATCAGGGTTTAATAAGTCCATGTTGAATTAATACATAGAGATATAGGGTGCTAGGCACGGGTGCTTGCCTAGCATGAGAGAGGTCTTGAGTACTATCCTCAACAGCAACCAATAGACAACCATTCAAAGACATCAAATTATCAAAATCTAACCCCCTCTAGTAAACCATATAAAGCCTAAAAACTACTGATTTTCTTCAGACTCTAAGCATTCTAACCATTTGATTACTCTACAACAGGTAGTAGTAGTATTTAGACACATCATATCTATCCAGAGTACTATTCAACTAGGAAAAAAAAAAAATACCATTAATAGAGTGATCTAGACCCAATAAATCCAGTATAGATACCGAGTTACTTCCCTGGTTTTTGTTGTGCACACTAAGAGTGGCTCATTTCTGCAATGGGTCACATCGGACAGACCCTGGGTAGGGGCGCTCCACAAGACTAGGAAGCGGAGGCCCACTTTCTAACAAACGTTAGTTCAGAGGCCAGGCCGCGGGGTTGCGTCCGGGTCTCTGTCTTGGTCTTCTACCAGGGGCACGAAGGAGCCTTGTTTCTAAGCAATCTCCCAGAGCCCTGAGATCCAGCAACTCCACGGCGGCGAGAAGCCCAAGGTAGAACGAGCTTGGGGTGGGGGGTCAAGGGTGCACGAGAAGGTTAGCAGAAATGAAAAGAGCGACTTACCCTTCAACGGGTCTTCAGCTGAATGACTTGGGGAACGACCCTACACCAGGGCCTGCAACACAGAGATACACCAGGGACTGCAGCACCGAGAGTCAAGCGAGCCATCAAAACCAACCAACTTTGCTCCCGCGCTCTAATTGGCAGAAGAGAACATTACGGGGTAACAAGGCACACACTTCCGCTACGGAAGTTCTCCTTTCACCTTTCCGGCCCCGCCCCCCTCCGCTCCAGGTTCCCGCTCCCAGCCCTTAGGCCCGCCCATCCGGGCTCAAGTAGCAGGGTGGGCGCGGCGTATTGCGCGTGTGCGGCCGCAGAGGCTTTCGGGAAATGTAGTCTCCATGCAGGTGCCGGCGAGCCGCCAGGGTCCTGCATCCCTGCGGAAATCCCGCGAAGTCACAGCGCTCCCGCCGCACCGGTCCCCATCCCAACTTCACCCTCTCTAGTCACCTCGCACGCGTCCTCCCGCTGGGCTGCTGTCAGGAGTCGGCGGGAGGGAGAGTCCGGAGACACCCTCCCTCCATTCCTCCCTCCCCACACCCTCCCTCCCTTTTGGCGGCTGCGCCGGGGAGGCGGGGTCCGCCGCCCGCCCCTCACCGTCAGCCTTCCCGCCTCCCTCCTCCCCTCCCCGCGGGTGTCGGTGCCGGGATCGAGGCAGCGGCCGCAGGAGGGGCGGCGGCGGCGGTGGGCGCCGCAGGCGATGCCCCTGCCCCGCTGCTCCGGCGGGGGGCAGTGCGCGCGGCGGCGGCGGCGGCGGCGGCGGCGGGGGAGGAGGCGGGGGGCGGCGGCGGGGGCGGCGGCTGCTGAGGGGCCGAGAGCTGGCGGCGGCGGTGGTCGTGAAGGGCATCGGCGGCGGCGGCGGCTGTGAGAGCAGAGATGATGTGAGTGTCCGCTGACTGGGGACCCCGGGGCTGCTGAGCCCGGGTGGGCGGCCCGGCGGCGCCGTGTGGGAACCGGAGCGGGAGGCCGGGGGACGGCGGAGGGATGCTGAGTGCGCGGGGCCGAGCCCGGGACCTGCGATCCCCGGGCCGGGGCCGGAGCCGAGCGAGCCCGGCTCGAGTGCGGGGCTCCGGGCCGCGGGGTGAGGCTCAGGCCGAGGAGCGTCTACGATTGTTCTCAACCCCCTCCCCCACCCCGCCCCGTGTGTGTTTGTCACTTGCAGCTGAAGATGGAAAGAGCCAGGCGAAGGGGAGGCGGCGGTGGCGGCGGCGGCCGCGGCCGTGGAGGCAAGAATATAGGGGGCCCTGGCCTAAGCAAGACTAGACTCTATCCCCAGGCCCAGCACTCTCACTACCCCCACTACGCCACTTCGGCCACCCCTAATCAGGCTGGGGGCGCAGCCGAGATCCAGGAGCTGGCCTCCAAACGAGTGGACATCCAGAAAAAGAGGTTTTACCTAGACGTGAAGCAAAGCTCCCGGGGCCGGTTCCTAAAGATAGCCGAAGTCTGGATAGGAAGAGGCCGGCAGGACAATATCAGAAAGAGTAAACTGACCCTCTCCCTGTCTGTGGCAGCAGAGCTGAAGGACTGTCTAGGGGACTTCATTGAGCACTATGCCCACCTGGGCCTGAAAGGCCACAGGCCAGAGCATGGCCACAGCAAAGAGCAAGTCCCCTCCCGAAGGAGGCAGAAGCACTCAGCACCCTCCCCACCAGTCTCCGTGGGGTCAGAAGAGCATCCACACAGTGTCCTCAAAACAGACTATATAGAGAGGGACAACAGGAAATATTACCTAGACCTGAAAGAGAATCAACGAGGTCGCTTCCTGAGGATTAGACAAACCATGATGCGAGGGACTGGTATGATAGGTTATTTTGGCCACAGTTTGGGTCAAGAACAGACTATAGTCCTCCCTGCACAAGGAATGATTGAGTTTCGAGATGCCTTGGTTCAGCTGATTGAAGACTATGGCGAAGGAGATATAGAAGAAAGAAGAGGTGGAGATGATGACCCAGTTGAACTCCCAGAGGGGACCTCTTTCAGAGTGGACAATAAAAGGTTCTACTTTGATGTGGGCTCTAATAAATATGGAATTTTCCTGAAGGTAAGTGAGGTGAGGCCACCTTACCGTAATACTATTACTGTTCCATTCAAAGCTTGGACAAGGTTTGGGGAGAATTTTATCAAGTATGAAGAAGAGATGAGGAAAATTTGCAACAGCCATAAAGAAAAGAGAATGGATGGCAGAAGGGCCAGTGGTGAAGAACAAGAATGCCTCGACTAGAGTGAAATTGAACTCCAGGCAAAATTTATAATCCTAAATTGGCTAAAAGTACTGATCGATTATCATTTGAAGAAAATTTCCTCTTTTGGCCCTACATTATTAGTAATACTTTTAGTAGTTTATAATTTAAGAAGTCTGATTCCCATATTATGTTACACATAGCTCACTATAATTCTCATGGGAATTCCAACCTTCCCAGAGCTAAATAGTTTAGATGCTTCAACTGCTCCAGACTATTGAAGTATGCAAATCAGCACAAAATGTGACATTCTGACCTTTTCAATATCATAACATTGCACTATGAAATAATCTTGAAAAAAAGATACATATATACTTAATATGGAAGAGTGAATTTCTATTTTAACAAATTCCCCAGAAAAGTACTCCATTTCTACTTCATTCAGTCTGCTAAGCATACCTGTAGGACAGTTACCACAGAAACGGAAATTAACCTCATTATAAGTATGTATTTATAAAAGTACAAGGAGAAATACATTGTCTATTGGGTAACTTTTAAAGAGTGCCACTAAAAGAGCAAATATTATTAGATAACTAACCGTTCAAAATGCAGTATCAAAATATTTCTTAAGAATTACTATAGTATTCTATAATTTCAAATTTTGTGGTAACCCTACAGTTTATAGTTGTGGTATCAAAGCCATGGGAAAGTTTTCATTGGTTATCCTAAGCTGGTTACCTCTGTTGTACCATATGGTTTTATTGACTTTACAAAGTTTCAGGAGTTACAGTGACATCACATTTGAGGGGAAGGCTTCATCCAATGGCTTTCCTATGGAAATCTTGGTATTTCAGCATATTGTGGTAATTTGGAGCTTGTGATAAGTTTTTCCCTAAAAATATCATGGACTCAAGGTATTATTTATTATAATTCTTTAACAGTGTTTCAGAAGGGTTGGTGCACCAAGTCATGGATATAAAAATAGGCCTGTAATTACACGTTTTAGTAGCACTTTTGCAATTCTGCTTGTAAAACTATGTCAAACTTCCAATATAAACCTGACTTTTACAGATACCTTAATTCCAAAAGAAGAAAAAACTTTTCTAAATAATTTAGATTTTCAATCTGGGGAAAATATTATTCGGAAATAAGACTATAGACATTTGAAAGGAAAATTCAGTCATTTTCCAAGGTGCTCATTATGATACTTAAAGAGATTTACTTTACTAAAGGTTACCTGTATTCAGAATTAATCTCCAGGAAGAACAAAATCAATTTTTTAACACCTAAGTAATTTTTTAAACAAGTAGATGTAGTATATGTGTGTACCAACCCACTCACCTTATATCAACTGACTGAAATTTCAACTATTGGGCTAAATTTTTTTCTGAATGAAATTAATTGTCTTTTATCTTAGCTCCCACATTCTAAGTCTATATAATTATGTTCTATCTACAGATTACTGATTTCAGCCCCCCAAAGGTAATTTATTGATGAGAGATGGATTCATGGATTGAGATCAGATTGTAGCTCTTCTTTTGAAATTCAAAATCATTTTAACAACTTTCCTCTAGAAATTTACCCCATATACAGTAAAGTCACAAAGAAAACCTTACAGAATGAATTAAGACTAATAATTTTACTTACAAACAAGTTATCAGTAACCCAGACATTTATACTGGCCTTGATTTGCAGATTATATTTTACATTTCCTCCAGTATTACAAAGGAATCTCATTTCATTGTAATTGTAGACCATCTGGATCACTATGGAACAAATGAAGGATAGAATGAATATGATGTTGGTACTTGAGTTAATAGCACATGGTGGGTGTTAACATTATAAAAGTAGCAAGGATTTTTAAACAGTCCTTACTGTAAAATAACATAACTATGTAGGCTTGCTAAAAAGTAGTTTTGGGTATATGAAGGAGTGATGTGCACTTGAATTACTGTACTACCGATTGCTATTGCTGCCCATCATAGTGCCTATTAATAATAATCAACCTGTCAGATTTTGGCACACTAGAGCTGTGAATATTCCAGTCATCCATTGTTCCTATCACTATTGCTATGAGTGAATGCTCTCTTAAAATCTTTCTTTTTAAAATATTTATATCCATTAAGACTAAATGATTTATCTTCTGGTTTTTATTTAGTCTGATAAGATTTGAGCATGTGTGTATATACACCTATATATAGATGTATATACACAATACTATGTCAGACTTAAATATCATTGTATATACATATTATTAGTTTTGCACTGATTATTTAAGAATTACTTAAAAAGCCAAATTTTCTACCTTGTATGTATACTTCCAAGTTATCACCATCTCATAGCTGCAGATGCTTATATACTGGCAATTGAATAGACTATAGAATCATTCAAGCTTCTTTCAGTTCTTTATTTTACCTTTTCATAGTTAATGTATTCATTGAAAAATGGAATTGATTCTATGATTTTTTGATACTTAAAATTCCCAAGAATTCATTAGCCATAATTATGATCCAGTTCAAACCTCTGGTATTAGAAAATGAATTGCCATGTATCTTATAAAATAAGCTATTTTTATCTGTGCAATATAAATTTTATTTATTGTCATTTGTAACATAAGTGGAACTACAAGTGCACATGGTATTCTTTAAAATAACGGATCCTTGCCTTGCAGACGTTAAACTCTTAAGGCAAATGGATGTTAGAAGTAAAAACTGAGCACTAATATTAGTAACCAAAATAACTAGTTCACTAATGCTAAAACATTGATGATGTTTGCACATAATAATACAAGCGTAATGTGGTACAGATCAAACTGTAATAATATAAGCTAATTGTATGAAATTTGGAAACGGGTTCTCATAGTAGTTGGCAGTGTGCTCCTAGCAATTAAAAGCAGCACTAGTCTGTTGCTTATATGCAAAAGATGCAATGTATTATAAAGGTATTAAAGTTCTGCCACATTTTCTAATGATCCTCGGTAAAGCCCCAAACTGCCATGTCCCTTAACGTGAGTCAAACACAAGCATATTTGCACTAAAGAGCATGGCCAAAAAAAATAATAAATGACAGGGTGGAAAAGCTAGTTGGAACCTCTTGAAATAGTTGGTTCTAATGGGAGAATTTCACATTTGTCTATTTGAAAGCTGTATGGTCCAGGCAGACAATCTGTCAGTTCACTAATTTAATAATGCACTTTACCTTTTGTATATAGAAGATGTACATTTATGCCACTTGACAGGTGGGATGTGTTTCAGTAACTGTGTAGTTAGAATCTGTAGGGTGATCTCTTGCATGTATATGTTTGTGTTGAATTGTTGTAACAGGTTTCCATTAAATCAGTGTAATGGAGAAAGGTAGAAGATGCTTTTAAAACAAATTCCAATGTATTTAACAGAAGAAGTTAAAGTAGACTTCATATTTGTATTCCTAAGGACTAGAATATATATAAAACTATGTTTGATCCATATTAGTATTGCAGTTGAGACTATATCTACTTGAGACTCCCCATAATACTCTGAAAGTTAATTTTGAGAATTTGTCCAGATTTTAAGGAATTAATGATTCTATTTTATTGTTGAAATGTTTAAGTAACTAATAAACAGTAATAATACTGCACCAGACTTGAAAGTATGGTTAGGTAATTTTGAAAAATCACACAGACTAAAGAAATAAAATTTCAACTTAAAATACAAAGAGCCTAATACTTTACCAAAGTAACAATAATGTTTCAAAATTTTCAGAAGTACTAACCCTGACCAAGTAAAAAGGGTAGTGGGGGATTTAGTATATCCTTCCATCCTAAAAATTTCCTAAGGTGTACATTTGAAACTTAAGTAATTGTTGCTTACCAACAGATTGTATGTACTTTACTGAGAAACACTGTGTACTAACATTTCATCAAGAGTGTGCTATATTTACTTCATTTTATAGCTATAGATAAGAATATATTATATAATCATCCTATCTTAATATAATCATGTATTTATCTTGTAATTTTGCAGATATTTTCAGTAAAATAAATATTTATCTGCACAATTTGAAGATGAAATTGAAATGCACCCTCAGATACTCATTTTTAATAAGCAGCTACCACTGAAAGTTGTTGTATGTATTGTCATTTCTTTAAACTTTGGTTTATAGTTTATTTTACTATTTAAATGAATATGGCTTAATTTAAATTTTAATTGATTGTCTGAAAATAAGGTTTTTCATGTGAGTTTTTTTTTTTTCCTGTTTGTTTCCAAATGGCTTTCATTGAAACTTTATGAAATCCTCTTCCAAGCTTTATGTAAGGGCTCTGCTTAAGCACCACTTAGTTTGCAATCTTTACCAAAACATCTTTTGGCAGGATATTAAAAAAAAAACTAACATTGACTCTCTTGCTACAAAATAATTCGGACATAATATTATCTTTGCCACATAAGATTCTTAAAATCTTTCTGGAATTTCCTTTAAGATTTTTTGACTTCCGTAGGAGAAATGGTAGCTAATGGCTAGCCCAGCAGAGGAAGAGGATAAAGATATTAACATGCTGTTGACAATCCACACTCCACAATACTATAACGTGAAGTATGGGGAAAATGTGTTTCCCAATTTAAAGTCAGATGAAAATTGAATTTTTAAATCACAGTAATGCTTGTCTTAAAACACATGCCAATGTCTATAGGTAGACTTTAGAATAATGTGTTAGTATATTTTCTTGTATAATGGGAAAGAGTTGGTCTTCATTGTTAATTTGATATATTAAATCATTTAAATTTATTTTATTTGAGTTTTAACACTTCCAAATAGGGAAAAATATACATATATACCACAAAATTTAAATGCTACAGAATAGAGAATGAAAAGTAGTAACCAATGTTATCAGCTTCTTGTGTGTCATAGAGTTTCTGTGAATATACAAACATGTACATATGTATTTTCAAATTCCCAAATCAAAACATATACACTGTCCATATCTCAAAACATAGATCTGGTATTTAAGGGAATTTTTTCCTCTTAAATATCATACCTTGGTTAAAATGTCATTTACCTTATGCAATATTATTACACCAAGGAAATATCAAAGAAATTCTGAATGGCATTTTCTTAAATTATGGACATGTGTATTAGTTTTAAATATGTAAAATGCACAGTTTATCCTACTAGTTTCCCTTCTCCATTCCTAGCCATCTTGCCTATCGGTATTCAAATACACACACACACACACACACACAAAATACTAGCCTTTTTTTTCCTAAAGTAACACAGCACAGGAGTCACAAGATATCAAAGAATTTAACCAAGTTTTTATTTCAGTGTTAACTGTTTCTAATGAAACCACTAATATTCAAAGTATAACTTGATTTTTAACTAATTCTGTTGCTATTATTTTTTATCCTAAGACCATGCCAATGAGTATTAAAACTGTAGTAAATGATCATTACAACCTGGTTGGAATCTTTTCATTTATTAACATAATGCTTTTATTATAAGAAAGGTATAAGGCTTATTTAAACTTCATCCAGTTCAGATCTATGCAAAGAGGTAACACTGCATTGGTCTTAATTGTTTAAAGCATTGTTTGAAAGATTCAGACCCTATTAGAAGTCCTTGGGAGCAGAAGATACGGTGATGATTTGTGGAAAGAGTAAAAATTAGGATGCTAAGAATTTACAATATAACTGAATCATATCCATGTATTATTTTTAAATGAAATTAGCATTAACACTATTCCTGGAAATATAAACAAAACTATCTTAATAGTTCACACACAACGACACCAGAAAAAAATCAGTCTTTTATAGTTATGTGTTTATTATCCTTAAATTGTATAAAGAGGTAACCATTCTCAAAATCTTCCACTCATCAAGAGTGCATTTTAAGATCTTTCTGTTGCCTACCAAGAAAAAAAGACGTGAAAAATGAAAGATCCCACGCTGAATCCTTCAATTGTATAAATTAAAGCAACCAGATTAAAAGATCCAATTCAGTTAGAAATATAATTAAGAACTTATGGATTGAGGAAGAATATCTGTAAATTTTATGAAAATGTTATGATATAAATACCTAAAAATTAGTTATTTAAATTTTACAAATCTCCATGATTTATGGCACCATTTTAGTTTATAAACAGAGAAAGTCCTCTTAAACATACTTTTAAAGCATAAAAGACTTTTGGTTTTTCTGTTTTAATAATGAATAGTTTATTGTCCTTATTTAATCTATAAAATTGGGAAAGATTTCTATAAACTTGTATAAGCTTATAATGATGTATATATAGGTTTTAATTCTATTTAAAAGGAGGAATTGAAAGGGAAAAAAATGAATTTTATTCCAAAAATGAATTTTACAGCCAGGCACCAATGACTCATACCTGTATTCTTAGCTGCTTGAGAGGCTGAGATGTGGAAAATAGACTCCAGCCTTGGCAGAAAAATATGAGAGACTCCATCTCCAATTAACCAGCAAAATGCTTGACTACAGGCATGACTTAAATGGTAAAATAGCAGCCCTGAGGAAGAAAGGCCTCATACAGGCAAAAATAAAATCAAGAATTCTGCTTAAATCTAGGCTGCAAAACACTAATAATTTCCCATCCTTAACCAAAAGTTTCCCATGTTCCTTTCTAGTGAATTATGTTTTTCAAATTTTACCTTTCTTAAAGAGTATCCCCTAAGAAAAACCCCTTATTCTTTTGAAGACAGTGAATGCACCAGTAAAAATAAAATAAATAAAGCATACTGAATCAGTACTGCTATTGTGTAAGACAATTTTAAATCCAGTTTATGGTCTCAATACTGTTGACTTAAGATGTTCAAAAGTGTAAGATAAGGAAAGGCTTTTATTGGTTTTTTTTTTCTCTTTATGACACTAAAAGTATAAATCTGATTTTTATATGATTATAGTCAGAATTTCTTATATTACAAACTCCTATTGGAAAATAGTTGGTATTTTACTTATAGAAAATGTTATTATTTGTTATAGATTGATGACATTGTTGCATGGAAATAAACAGAAAAGAAGAGACAGAAGAGAAAGGTAGTAGCTGATATAACAAATCAGTCTTAACAAAAATGAAGAGAAATCATACTCAAAACTTAGAATATTCTATTTATCCTCTTAAAGTGCGTGAGTGAAAAATGTAGAGGTAAGGGACAAAAAGACCTTATCTACCAATCTATGGCCAGGTTCTGAGGAAGTATGTAGCTTCTGTTGGATAGTTTCCTCATATGAAAAAGGACAATGCTAGGCTAGAAACTAAGTATCTCTATTCTTACTAAGCTTTTAAAATTCTGCATCAGTGGAAAAAGAAAAAAAAATAATAGGTAAATACTATTTCCAACAAGCCAAAAACCTGTTTGGAGTTGTGGCTCAAGTAGTATCCTGATTTCAATGCATAGCACCAGTCCCTCCCACATCCCAAAAAAATAATTGGCTCATATTAAAACCATGTTATCTACTATGTATTTAATCATCTTGTTCTTTAATTTTTAAAGTTCATATTTTTATGACCTATGCCAAGTTTCATTCTTTTGAAAGAACATGACTTTTTTCAACACAGTCTATAATCATCCCTTATATTCTGCATGGCATAAACTTTTTAAACTAACATTTTGTCAAATGCTGTTGTTCTGCAAATAACCAGAAATTGCACTAAATGATGTAACTGCAACTGCTGTCATTGCAGCAGTAATCAACTACTACTGCTTTTGATCTCTTTTTCTTTGTAATGGTGATTATTGTATTCTACAAATTTTAACAAAGAACATCAGGAAGGCTACTGACCTGTGAATATATATGGTTCTGTTTCATACAACCTGTAACTACTAAAGTGTGTAACTATAAAACATCCTAATGGTTAGTTTGTTGTTTAAACCTTGACGAAATATGATGGTCAATGATTGGAGAAGAAAAGCAGCACACAAGCTTCTGTGGTGGGGGCATTTATTTAAGTGCCCTAGTCCTCCACGACAGTGTCACAACCTCTGCTAATAAAAGAGTTTTTAGAGTGACACCTTTTTTCAACACAACCCTTCTTGGTGTCCACGGGTTTATTTTTTCAGTCACAGATAGTGTTTAAGAGTAACCCACGTGCTGGACACCAGTGGCTCCTGCCTGTGAAATCTGAGGATCACAATTTGAAGCCAGCCCAGGCAGGCAAGTCCATGAGCCCCTTAGCTCCAATACAGAAAGCCAGAAGTAAAGCTGTGGCTCAAGAGGAAAAGCATAGCTTTGAGAAAGAAAAAAAAAAGCTAAGAGACGGTATCCAATTCCTAAATTCAAGCCCCAGGACCAGGACAGCACAAAAAGAAAAAGAAAATCGTTATTAACCATGTGTATTTTCAAATGCATATGCACATAGTATTTTGACAATTTAAAAAATATCAGTATACATAAAATTCCATTGCTTCCATGTGCTGTGGCTTATGACCATGATCCTAGCAACTTAGCAGGCTAAGATTTGAGGATCACAGTTCAGAGCTCCACCCCCAGGCAGAAAGTCCCCATGAGACTCTTATTTCCAATTAACTACTCAAAAACCGGAAGTGATGCCGTGGCTCAAGTGGTAGAGAGCCAGACTTGAACACAAAGAGGCTAAGGGATAGCGCCCAGGCCCTGAGTTCAAGCCTCATAACCAACAAAAAGAAAAAATATGTATTACTATAGCATTCTATATAATTCACAGTTTTTGGACAAATTCTATAGAATGAATTGGCTATCATAGAAAATTTTTTCTCCTCAAATTAGCAAAGACATTTTAGGTTCTCGAGTGCTTCTTTTTTCAATGTTTGGAATCAAAGTGAGATGTGAGAAAATATTTTGTTAGTTTTTTGCACTTTCATTTTGTAGAAATTTCCTTCTAGTCAAACAAACATTCCAAGCAACTTCACCAAAAGAACACACCTATATGCAAAAACTACCCAACATATTGCAGCAACAGAATTGTAAGACAGTGACTTAAGAATGAAAATATGTTGGGCTGGGAAGGTGGCTCAGTGGTAGAGCGCTTGCCTTGCATGCTTGAGGCCCTGGGTTCGATTCCTCAGCACCACATAAGCAAAAAAGAAAAAAGCTGGAAGTGGCGCTTTGACTCAAGTGGTAGAGCGTTAGCCTTGAGCCGAAGAGCTGAGGGACAGCGCCCAGGCCCAGAGTTCAGGCCCCACGACTGGACCCAAAAAAAAAAAAAAAACAAAGAATGAAAATATGTACAGGAACCTGTACCATCTTTATCATCTGCTAATTTACTTCAGAGAATGAAAAATAGTATTTCTAGATTCATCGACCTAGTGCTGAGATTTATACCAATAAATTAAAAATCTACAATGTCAGCTGCATAAAATCTATTTGCTGCCTAGTAAAAATTCTTCAAATTATCAATTCTATAATCAAATATAAAAGAAAGATCCTCAAATTCCATCTAATCATAATTTTCCCCCTCTCCCGCCATACACTGTACACTATTAAAAGTAGGCAAAGGTGTTAACAAAACGAAGACTGGAGCTGCTCTTTGAATATCTAAAGCATGCTCTGTGGGCTAGATGTAGATAGCGTGAAAAAAAGGCAACTACTTTGCTCAATTCATGTGAACACTTGCCATGGTTCTGTGAAACAGTTTAGATGGCTAGAGCATAGATTCCACTTGGGATGATAAAGACTGAAAATGAAAACTTACTTGCTCTAACTTTTTAAATATACATTGGATCTTCAGAATATATATTTGGCTACCCAGATTGGCAGATAATTTTAGAAGTCAATTTCACTTCTAGAAAAGTTGCACCAAGACTATTTTTTAAAGGTAGT